AAAGCCAACTACAGAATTCTATTACATTCCGTAAGTGTCTTCATTTACTTCTCTTGTTGTGGACAGTAGGATAGATAATGTGTGAGGATCTGTGGATTAATTCAACAATATTCTCTAGGGTGCTATTCTGTTCTGCCCACCCACATGTGTACAACAGGCCTGATTATAAATTTTTCTTATTCTTTTTTTTATATTTTTGAATGTGCAAGTGAATATTCTTTTTTGTGTGTTTCTAGCGTATTGTTCTGACTCTTTGATCCTGAAAGGGACGCCACTTTCCACCATATTCCATAGTCCGTGTCCTTCTTCTTACCTAGATAGTACTGCATGATTAGGCAATGTTCATTACAGTTGAAATCCTTGGATTGAATTGAATGATAAGTGGCTTTTGCCAAATATTCTCTAACACAATGAAGGATTTGCTGATGTTTCTATAACAATGCAAAAAATTCCTTAAACTTTTACAGGTTTTCTTCTTATATTTCTACCCTTTCTGTTTGGGGAAAGTGTTTCCTGTGAATATTCAGTAAGTATTTAAAATATAGTTTAGGGTTCCTTGGGATTCAGAATAAGGCCCAGAATAAGGCATAAACCATGTGTGAGACTTCTTCACCAATGTGGTTCTTCCTCAGTTGGATGTGTGTATCTTCACTATTCAGATTCTATCTCATTGGTATCATGCCAAGCATGTGATTAAATAACGGCTTTTATGAGGGTCAGAGAATTCTACCAAATGGCTTGTGCTTTTATGAAAAAAAAGAGATGTCTTTGGGATAGTGATAGACTGAGTCTTAAAGAAGATTTTTGTTCCATAGTGCTTCTCTGGCAATTATCCACATGAAGGATTAGAAATAAATACAGAAAGATCTCTCCTGGAGTGCCATAACCATGTTGTAAAAGTTAGTCGTTAGAATGCTTGGGCACAACCTGATATGAGAAGAAACTCACTGTTAGCCTGGCCAGCTCCCAAACAGTTTCTTTCTTAGCTGTCCAGAAGATGAAGATATTTATTCCATCAGGTGCTTGGCTAGGTCTTGGAAGCTACAGACTCCTTTCTTCTGGTCGTGCACAAAGTAAGCCACTGCCACTTTTTAATCAACTGGATTTTAAGGGGTATCACTGGTAGGAGGACTTTAGAGTCTCATCTGTAGAGAGGACACTCTGTCCTGACCTTCCCAATAAGAACCTTGGAAACCATGTGAAGAGACTACTCAGCCCTGGAATTGAAATTTTACGGCTTGAAGCTCCTCTTACCTGGTTATATAACTTTTTCTGTGTTTTCTCTTCTGTGTAATCATGTATGTGCTAACTAACAGCTTATTGGTATTTGTTTTAGTGTTTTTACCTTGGTGATAAAGGCATTTGTTACTTGTGACATCAGGCCCTTACATTAACCAGTTGTGACCATAGTTTTTTAAAGGCAAGAACATATTTGGGAATAGAGAGAGCAGAATAGCCTTTCACTTTGGCAAATGGGATTTCTACCTATTTCATACTGCTTATAAAATCCAGAAGTTTGCTTATATTTTTATTACTTGACACTTTCCAGATATTCACAGAGTTTTCAAGATAGGCACTTACTATTCTGACTATGTTACCAGCAATTTCCTGGGCTCAAAAATTCCCTCTCCTTAAGTTTCTCTACCAGCTTGCATTACAGGAAACTACATTATACTGTGAAAGTGTGTTTTTCTTCCATCTTTTTAAAAAATGTATGTTGTTACTGAGATGCTTGCTATAGAAGGTTTGATTCTGCTTCTTGATACTGAATGTTTCTTGCTAGAAACAGGTCAGAATTTTTGGATGTTTTTAATCAAAGAATTCTGCTCAAAATCAACTAAACCCTATGAAAGGATTAATTACTCATGCCATTTATTGAAAATATTAAGAAGGGTTTTATTTGATCAGTACATAACCTTCAGTAGAGAATGCAATGAAATGTGGTTTATTTAGGAAAGTGTGTTCTGAAAGGGGTATGGACTAATGTGCATCTAGTGCTAATCAGGAGAATAGAGGCAGGAAATCAGGGAGTCTGGATAAATCTGCCTGAGGATTCTAAGTGTAACAATCCCAGTATGATCAGACATCATCTGAGTATAGTGGGGAATGTGAAACTGATCAGATATCAAGCACTGTCAGATTTCAAGAGTAGTTCAAGCATGTAGGCTCTGCTTCTATTCCTAAGAAGAGAAGATAAGGTACCCACTCTTCTATTGTCCCCACATATGTTGAGGGAATCAGGTAGCTTTTGCAGTTGGACTCATAAGCTGTGAGCTCTTTCAGTGGCTAAACAAGTCACATTTTAATTTGTATGCCCAGGCTGATATATCTACCAGGTATGAGAGTTTAGGGACTCACAAGAGAATTTTGATTTTTGATAAAATCAGAAAGAAAAGAAAAGAACTTTTGAAAAATAAAAATGCTTATACATAGGTAATTTATATACTTTATACCAACCATATATTGAAGAATCTAATTTTAATATTTTGCAGGATTATATTTCAAATTAGTATTTTGCAGGATCATATTTCAAATGCAGGAGTCACAATATTTATGCTAATTCTTATATGTGCATAGTTTATGTACTTTCAATCTATCATAAGTCAATTCTCAATTTTTTTGAATATTCCAGCATTTCCAATTATTTTCTATTTTCATTTTAAGGAGGAAAATAGAGATATATAATATGTAGAGGAATTCTCCCTGATTAAATCTAAAGAATGTTGAAAAGTAAAATGGCTGTGTTCAAAATTATCTATTTTTTTATTATTGTGCACTTTATCAAACCACATCCTGCAATAAAATAATGAGCACTTTCAAACAGTCACTTAGGGAAGCAAGGTTACCTTAACCTTTACATTGGAAAGCTGGACTAAGTTGAGGTAAAAGAAATGGCAGCATTTTGATATACAGGCATATTCTTAACATTTGGAGTGATTTTATTGAGTGTATTGCCTTAATTATTTTACTTGATTACTAACCTTTCATCAACTTTTGTCTTAGGAAAGGCCTTCTAATTTGTAAAATAATGTTTTCTATATTAAGGAAAGGAAAATATTCTTGATTAGGTATTTTTAAAGTGATTTACTAGGCTTTTGCTGTAGTAAATGTTTTTACATAAATTATGCCTTTAAGAGGAATAGATATGACCATGTAGGCTGGAGAAAATATCCATAATTTACCTTTTATTTTTCCTATTTGCAATGTATCTGTATGTATAATTTTGAAAACACATTTGTGTTAAGACTATTACTTGTACATTTTAATTAATTAGTATTTAAATTTTATTTTGCAATGCATCTCAATATATAATTTTGGGAATACATTTTTAAGATTGTTACTTTTACATTTTAATTAATTGTTTAGTACTTAAATTTATTTTGAAAAGCATTCTCAATTGGTCCTCACATTATTTTTGCTATCAATAACATAATTTTATAGTGAAGTTCTATATAGATATTGTGATAAAAATGATAGATGGTAATGAGATAGATATAGAGCACGTTTTATTGACACATTATTTATTATCTGTTCCACTGATGCACCTATGTCTTTATTTGCTTTTTCTCTAGATACCACACTCCTTTTACTTTCTGAAATGGTTTAACTACTTTTTAGACTTTAAACATTTTATAGTACATGTGTAATATGTGTTATTGATATAAAATTATCATTTAAATATTTATTAGTAGCTAGATTGATAGAACTGTTTAATATCAAATTTTGGGGAACATTCTCTTTAGTGCTTTTTATCTCTTTACCAAAACTTTAAGGTATTTAAAGTCTTCTTGTAAGTTTTGATAAAGTCTTTGCAATACTACATATGTTTTTCTTAAGGAGTTTCACTTACCAATTTTATACTGTAACCCTTTTTATTCTAATTTACTTAGATTTGTTTGGAGCCTGTACTAGAATATTTTTCTACTTTTTAGGTGAATAATATTTTTCTAAATGATTTAGATATGCCTGCTTTTCTCTTCAGTTCTATTTTCTCCACTAACTTGCTGAATAAATTCTAAATAAATAATTTAGAAATTTCAGAGTAGTGCTAAGAGATTCTGATGCTAGCAAAGAAAAATTGTTTTGGAAACTTTTTCAGTGAAAACACTCTTGATATACAGCTTTTGAGGATTTTTTCTACAATAATGAAAGAATATTGCACTTTGTCTTTAGTAATTTTATAGCTGTATCAACATAAATCTCTCAGCAGGAGAAGAGTGGATAATTGTGTGAGGAATTCCTGAAAGAGGATGAACTTCTATGCCAGTGGTGCCTCACTGTTTTATTCTTTAACCAAGTCTAAGTTTTGACTTGAAAGAACTTAGTTTTATCATTAATTTTATCATTAGTTATTGCATTCAATTCTATATATTGATAGGTGCAGTTTAATATGCACATATATATATATGTATATATATATATTACCTACACATTAAATCAAGCAGATTAATGTATCATCAGCCTAGTATTCCTTCACATGCATAAGAGTGAATAGCAATTATTGGGATACATTTAAATAATAATATTAAGAGAATTTTTTTTACCTAAAATGAAGTATTTAAACAGAAATGGATGCTTGTTAGTACTGAATACCATATGCAACTCAAAAATATATTATTTTTCACCTTGAAAACTGAGAATATTTTAAAAATATAACATTTTATAAAGATCTGCACAGTTCAATTATACAAATTTTATTCTGAATTTATGTAGGAAGGTCATGTTAACTGTATAACAAATACAACAGTTATTTAAGCAGCTCTTCTGGGAATTTTGTAATGTGACTAAGCTCCTTTATGAGAAATTCACCTCCATGATTCACCTAATTCCAATTGTCTTCCAAAAGGTCAATCTTCTAATATCACCATGTTCACACTTAGGTTATAAATACGAGTGTGTGGTTAGAACACAACATTCAGGTCATAAATGTTATTGTACTGAACTGGAAGATAATCATTGATTGAATGTTTTCCCTAAGGATCTCTGTGCTCTCCATGCAGGCTTACACCCAGCAACTACCAGAACTACCTAGCTTTTACTTTTGCTGTAGAAGAGATCAACAGAAATCATCATATTTTACCCAACATTTCTCTGGGCTATGAGTTCCACAATTTCATTTACAGTCATTGGAGGATACTAGAGAATTCCTTCATTTTGCTCACAGGACAACATGAGATTCCAAATTACATGTGTAGGAAAAAAAGCAAGTATGCAGCAGTATTGACAGAAATTCCATGGCAAACCTCGGTTCAGATAGGACCACTGCTGGAACTCTACAAATTTCCACAGGTGAGGGTTGCTGCGACAGGAAATGATGGAAACACATATATGATGGTTCAGATAGCAGAAGCAAAAGGTCTAAAAATGACTGCAATTGTTCTTTCAAGTGGTACAGTGTGAAAGAGTCTATACACAGAGACTTCCTAGGTTATAAACAATTTCTTTTCCTTATCATGTTCTGGGCCAAAGTTGCAAAGAAAGAAGGAAAAATACATTTCTTGGATGCCTGAATGATTCTTTCATATAGAAAAATCTGCTGTGGCAGATGATTAGAAAGATGGGAAGCACAGGTTTTTCTTTTAAAACTCATATACTAAATACATATTAGAACTAGTATTGCTTTCCATCAGCACCAGTATATTACCCAATTTTCTTTTAATTTTAGATTTCCTTTGGCTTGTTTGATCCTACACTGACTGAGAGTGGCCAGTATCCTTCACTCCATCAGGTGGCTCAAAAGGACACACATTTGGCTGTTGGCATGGTATCCTTGATGCTTCATTTCCACTGGACATGGGTGGGCCTGCTCACCACAGAAGGCCATAAAGGTCTTCAGTTTATCTCAGATATGAGAACTGAAATGGACAGGGGCAGAGTCTGTGTAGCCTTTGTGAAAATTGTGTCAAGTGTCACTGTGTCATATCTCTCAGCCATGCAGAAATATGATATCTTGACTGCAGATACATCATCAGTCAATGTGGTGGTTATTTACTATGATACAGATAGTCAAAATGATGTGAGCTACAACATAGTTCAAAACTTAATGACATGGAAAGTCTGGATGACAAACTCACGATGGCAAGCTGACCTCGATGGAAGAAATTTCATACTTGACCCCTTCCATGGGGCTTTTGTTTTTACACAACACCATGAAGAGATTTCAGGTTTCAAAAATTATGTCCAGGAAGCTACCCCTTTCAAATATCCAGATGACACTTACCTCTTTGTGTATTGGTACAAGAATTTCCACTGCTCATTCTTTGAGCCTGACTGTGCTTTGAAGAACTGTTCACCTAATAGCTCTCTGGCTTGGTTGCCCCCGAGTCATTTTGACACAGCCATGAGTGACAGGAGTTACAATATATACAATAGTGTGTATGCTGTGGCCCATGCCCTTCATGTGATGCTTTTTGGAGAAGAACAAGGACCACCAATGAGAAATACAAAAGTGATGATGTTTTCCCCATGGCAGGTAATGAATCTTCCTTTGAATGGAATGCAGTGTCATGAAGGTTTCTCTCTGTGTTCTTCACCCAAGAATGTTCGTACCATTTCTAGAAAATACAAGGCATTGTGTATCACACCTATTACTGAGGAGGTAATTCTTGATTTGACTTGAAATCACCCTCCATGAAGGACCACTTGCAAGGCAGAGGAAATAAAATCCAAGCTAATTGATTTGGTCTAAAAAGTGTCAATGCCTCACCCATTTAAACATGTTCTGTGATTTTTAAGTACATCTGGTAAACTTGTAGACACTTACAAAACTAAGTTGGGATGGGGCCAGTGATTTACCCCAGGAGTATAAGCAACTGCCTAGCAAGTGCAAGGCCATAACTTCAATACCTGGGTTAAAAAAATTGTTTCCAAAACTATATTGGGCTAAACCCAAAAATACATGTAATTAAATTTTATTTAATTCTGCAAGCTCTTTAGTTATTGCTGGACTCATGTTGTAGGTAGACTCTATGAGAATACTCAGACAATGAAGGGAGTGTGATTTTCTTTACTTTAAACAGGGTAAAACTAAACAGAACAAAGAAAAAAATCAGATCAGAAGAAAACAATGTAGGTGACATAGATTTCAAAGCAAGAGAACAGGAGATCTACAGTGGGTAATGTATCTTGTTTTCTTCTAAATAGTTGTCCATATCTTCACACACAATGAATTCATACAAAACACAATGGTATAAAACTGATCAGAACAGAGTAATAAAGGCATTTCATGCCTTCTAAACCAGACAACAGGAAAATCAACAATGACTTACATAATGTCTCTTGTTCTCTTCAAAATAGCTGTGCATACCTTCATGTATGTTGAAATTAAACAATACAAAACAGACTAAAACCACTCTGAACAAAGAATAAAATCATTACTGTATTTTACAGTATAATGATGTGGAATCAGAAATGGATAAAATAATGTCTCATTTTTCGTCAAAATAGCTGTTCATTTCATCATGCATAATATAATTGGTTTTCACAAACTGTTTAGGAAAAATTCTAGGCATGTATAAGTCTATACACATGTACCTATCTTTTCTGTATTAGAAAGAAAAACAAAACAAAAAGAATAAAACAGGTTACTAGAAAAACAAGAAACAAAAAAGACAAATAAATAACAGTACCAAAGAGCCCAAAACAATGACAATACAGGCCTTCAAACCAAGGTGGTAGTAACAGAACTAAGGTTATTATGTTATCTAGTGATCTTCAAGAGTTCCTAAGATCACCAGACACAAACATGAAAAATTGTTCCCATCCTATGAATGTTAATTGTTTTGTACCAAGAACTTTCAGAATTTGTAACACAATCATCCTAGCTATCCTAAGTGTATTTATACAAGTTTAGATATTTTTAAAATTTCCCTTCTTTTTTATTTTTCCAACTTTTCCCTGAGATATTACTTCTTCTTTGAGCAAATTTTTATCCTTTCATTCTATTTATAGAAGATTTTGTATCTTATGTACTCTTACCATTTATTACATAAGGAAGAAAACACAGTATTTACACATGAGAATTAGATTTATTTTACTTATGAGAATAGTTTCAAGTTGCATCTATTTTAAAGTCTAATAGAATTTAATTTAAGTATTTAGAATTTATTATAAATATCTCAACATGATACTTTTTTATAGCTGAGCAGTGCTCCAGTTTATAAAAATACCACATCGTTTTTACCCATTCCTCAGTTGATGGGCGTTTATGTTGTTCTAAGTTCTGGCTATTACAAATTGTGCTGCTATAAACATGAATGCACATATATCGCTGTGATATGATATTTCCAGTTCTTCTGGGAACATGACCAGAAGTGGAATAGCTGGATCAAATGGGACTTCCAATCCCAGTTTTTAAAGGTAAGACCAGACAGGTCTCTACAGTGGATGCACCAGTCTATACTTGCACCAGAACTGCAGAGGAGTTCGTTTTTCCCCAGAAATCTCTCCAGAACTTGTTGGTGGTAGTTTGATTTATCCTGGACATTCTTTCAGGAGTGCAATGCAATCTCAGAAAGGTTTTAATTTGCATTTCTCTAATGACACATGATGCTCAACACTTTTTCATGTATTCATTTGCCATTTGTATTTCTTCATCTGAGAAATATGTATTCACCTCAGATGCCTATTTTTGAATTGAGTGCACAAATTTTGTAGGTATGGTTTTAAAAAAAAATTCTTTATATGTTCTAGACCAAAGACTCCCCAATCTACAGAAGCTGCAGCCAAATACTTTCTCACTCAAGCATCAGCATCAAAACTCCTATTATTCTCAATTGTTCTAACCATAGCATATTCAGGACAATGGACTATTATTTATCACCAATACTCGAAAACAGCTCCTATAGATAATATGTAGTGGAAATGGGCAACTCCCTTCTTTGTCTGAGGGACAGTTAACTAAGATTATTTTCAGAATTCATGGGTTTCCTTTTTGTTCTGTTGGGGATTTCTTTCAACATGCAAAAACGTGGTAATAAGGTATGATCCCAGTTATTGATCCTGGGAAGTGTTTCCCTTGCTGTTTGATTTTTTCATGAGTTGTCTACCTAACCCTATGTCTTCAAGATTTCTATCTAATTTGTCTTTCAGCAGATTTAGTGTTTCTGTTTTAATATTTTGATCTTTGATCCGTTTAGAAATTAGGTTAGTACATGATGATAGGCATGGATCTAGTTTACTTTTCAGCATATAGATTGCCAGTTTTTCCAGCACCATTTATTAAAGAAACTATCTTTCTTTTATTGAACATGTTTGACCCATTTATCACAGATAAGGTGGCTGAGTGTCTTTGTATTTGTAATTATATCTTCTAATCTATTCCATTGATATTCAGGTCTGTTTTTTACTACCATACCATGCTGATTTTATTACAGTAGCTTTGTAATATAACTTCGAGTCAGGGATTCTGTTGCCCCCTGCCTTTTCTTTGTTTCCCAGACTTGCCTTTGCTATTCTAGGATTTTTCTGGCTCCAGACGAATTTTAGGAATGATTTCTCTAGATCTCTGAGGCATGGTAGTGACACTTTGATTCATATTGAGTTAAATCTGCATGACAATTTTGCAGAATAGCCATTTTCACAATATTTGTTCTTCCTATCCATGAACAAGGAATGTTCCTCTATTTTCTGAGGTCCTCTTCAATTTTCTTCCTAAGGGTATTTTAATTTTCCTGAGTGAATCTTTCACTTCTTTTGTTAGATTGATTCTGAAGTATTTCTTTTTTTGTGGATGCTATTGTGTAGGGTGTGGTTTCTCTTATTTCTCTCTCAGTGAATTTGTTGTTTGTGTATAGTAATGCTATTGACTTTTGAGTGTTAATTTTGTATCCAACCATATCACTGAATTTATTAATTATATCTAGGAGTCTTTAAATGGAATTTTGGTGGTCTTCTATGTAGAGTATCATGTCATCTGCAAATAATGATAATTTAACTTTTTCTCCTATTTTTACTACTTTTATTTCTCTCTCTTGTCTAATTGCTTTGGCTAATATTTCCAGCACACATACTGAAAGGAGTGGTGATAATGGACTTCCTTGTTTTCTTCCTCCTTTAGACAAAAGCTTTCAGTTTTTTCCATTTACTATGATGCCTGGCTGATGGTTTGTCATAGATGGCTTTTATCATATTGAGATAAAGACCATCTATTCCAATTTTTTTTATTTTATTTAAGAGGAAAAAGAGAAAAACACAAAACAAAACAAAGTAGTGTAAGGTTACACATAATACAGAACTACAAAAAAAAAACATAACAGTAAGAAATCACCTATTAATAGATTACATATTATCATCTTGGAAATAGTTGAACACAGCTGTTTGCAGTCTCTCTGTTTGAATGTCTACTTTGTATTCTTTGATACTGTGATGTGAGCAACTATTTACATCTATTCCAATTTTATGTAAGGTTAATACCATGAATGAGTATTTGACCTTATCAAAAGCTTTTTCTGCATCTATAGAAATGTCCATGTGATTCTTATTTTTGGATCTATTGATATGAGATTAAATTTATTGATTTGTGTATGTTGAGCCATCCCTGAATTCCTGGGATGAATCCCACTTGCTCGTGTTGTATAATCTTCTTGATGATTTGCTGCACTCTGTTGGCCATTATTTTATTGAGAATTTTTTACATTTATGTTCATTAGGGAGATTGGCCTGTAGCTCTCTTTTGTGGTTGGGTTTTCCTCTGGTTTTGCTTCCAGGAATGAGTTAGGGAGAATTGCTTCACTTTCAGTTCCATTGACGATTTTGAGGAGTGCCAGAATTAAGTCTTCTTTGAATTTCTTTTAGGAATCTTCAGTGAATCCTCCCAGACCTGGGCTTTTCTTTGATGATAAGGTTTTAATTACATTTTCAATTTCATTAATTGAATTTTGGATGTTCAGAAGTTTTACATCTCCTTGATCCAGCTTTGGTAATTCATATATTTCTAGAAATGTGTTCATTTCTTCTGTATTATCAAGACTGTGAGAGTAGAGGTTTTCAAAACAGGTACCGATGATCTTCTGTGTTTCCACAGGGTCTGTAGTGATTTCATTATTTTTATTCTTTATTGCATGAAGTTGAGTTTTTTTCCTGAAATGTTTTAAAAGTGTTGGCTAGGGGCTTATCAATTTTATTTATTCTTTCAAAGAATCAACTGTTTGATTCATTCATTCTTTGTATTGCTTTCTTAGTCTCTATTGCAATGATTTGTGCTCTGATATCTATAATTTCTTCCCTTCTTTGGCTTTCAGCTTCACTTGCTTTTTTTTTCCTCTGTGTTTGAGGTTTAGCATCAGGTGGTTTCTTTGTGTTCATTCTGTTTTTCTGAGGTGGGTATTCACTGCAATATATTTTCCCCTGAGAACTAACTGCTTTCATTGCATCCCACAGGTTCTTGTAAGCTGTATGTGTATTTTCATTTGCTTGTAGAAATTGTTTAATTTCTTCTTTAATTTCCTCTGCGACCCACTGATTGATCAAGAAAATATTATTCTTTTTTCCCTGTTTGGGGTGGTGGTTTGCAGTTTCTTTTGCCATTAATTTCTAGTTTCATGGTGCTATGATCCAATAAAAGGGATGGGATAACTTCAATTCTTTTGCATTTACTTAAGCATGTTTTTTGGGCTAGTATAAGGTCCATTTTAAAGAATGTCTCATGTTCTGCTGAAAAGAAAGTGTATTCAGATGTTGCTGGGTGGACTGCTGTACACATCCACCATGTCCATTTGTTCACAGGTGTGATTAAGTTCTGTTATTTCTTTGATGATTTTCTGTCTAGTTGATCTATCTATTTGTATCAATGGATTATTAAGGTCTTGTGTTATAATTGTGTGATTACTTATTTGAATTTTTATTTATATTAATGTTTATTTTGTATATCTGGGTTCTCCCAAATTTGGTGCATATATATTTAAGATTTTTACCTCTTCCACTTGAAGTATGCAGTATCCTTCTTCATCTCTTTGGATCATTCTTGGTCTGAATTTCACATTTTATGCAAAGAGAATACCTATCCCTGCATTTTTGGTGGGGATTTCTGTTTTACAAAGTATTGTTTTTCATCCTTTGATTTTCAGCATATGAATTTCCTTTTGAGTTTGATTGGGTTCTTGTGTACAGTACATGGTTGGATGTTGTTTCTTGATCCATTCTGACAATTGGTGAACTTCTTTTAATTGGTGAACTGAGTCCATTTACATTAGTGGTTGTAACTGATATGTATTGGTTTATTTAGTACATGTTACATTTCTGCTGTTGATTCTTTACTTTTCCACTCTGTTCAATTGTTTGCCTTGCTTAGTGGTTTTTTCCTGTATCTATCTAGAATATATTTCAGTATTCTTTGCAAGGTTGGCTTGGTGGTCATGAAGTTCTTCAGCTGTCTTTTTTATCATGTATGTATCTTGTTTCTCCATCAATTTTGAAGGATAGGTTTGCAGAGTACATCAGTCTGGGCTGGGAGTCATTTTCCTTTAGGATCTGAAATACTTCACTCCATGCTCTTCTTGATTTGTTTTTTGTGTTGAAAAGTTTGTTGTGATTCTGATAGGGCTTCTTTAATAAGTAATCTGTCTCTTTTCTCTAGAGCTTTTAATATTCTGTTCTTTTGTTGAATTTCTGGGATGTTATTATTATATGTTTGGTTGTAGTTTTATTTTGGTTATTGTTATTTGGAGTTCTATATGCTTCAATATATATTTTTTATTTGGTTGTGGCTATTTGGAGTTCTATATGCTTTCTATCTATATCTCAGTTTCTGTTATCATGTTTGGGAAGTTTTCAGCTATTACTATTGTAAATAGCTTCTTGTTATCACTTGTGTTGTTCCCTTCTTTTTTCATTTATACTTAGCATTTTTATGCCATTTTTCTTTGCAACATCTTGCCGTTGTTGAATTTTTATTGCCTGATTCCTTGTTATTTTTAAAAGATCTTTTCTTTCATGTTCACTATCTGCAATATTGTCTTTGAGGTCTGAATGTCTATCCTCACTTTCATTGAGAGGGTGTTGTCAACTTTTGATGCAATTTTTGATTTCCTGTTTACCTCTTTGAAATCTGTTTCATGCATCCTATTTGTTTCTCATATTGTTCACTCAAGGTCTCCATTTTTTGCATTGTTCCTCTAATTTTTTAACTTCATCTTCTTTTGATGCATTTGGAATTTCTTTCATTACATTCTTACTTCTTCTTTCATCAGGAGATTATTTCTCTTCTGAGTTTTTTATAGCTTCTCTGAAATGTTTCTTTACTTCAGCTGTCATCATTTCTGGAGTTTGGGGCATATGGATTAAATTTTCTTTTATGTCCATGTCTCCTAGGTTTCCTGGGATGGGCTGGAGATTTGAGATTGGATTTTGCTCTTTCATTTTGTCATTTTCCTGTGTTCTCTTAGGGAAACCAAAAACAAGGTCTCAGTTGTTTCTTGGGTTGAGAATATCTATCCCTATTACAGGAAGTTTCCCCAGTTGCATGGAGATCCTTAGAGAGACCTCACCAAACACTCCCATTGTGGTCACCTGACAGGGCCTTACCAGTCTCAGAGTGACACACCAATACTTCCCCATAGGATGGAAATCACTTCATCTCTTTCGGCTAGCAAGGTGGAGCACAGGTTGTTGGAGTCATCTCAAGGGTGGCTGGTTGGGGCTCCAATAGCCCCAAAGGGATCTTCTCTGGTGTTCTTCAGTGATGTGTGGTACTGGAAAGGGCCTTACCAGACTTGGAGCAACAAGTCAATGCTTCTTCATGGGCTGGAAATCACTGCACGCACTTTCAGCTCACGAGGTGGAATGCAAGCAGCTGCGTGCTGCTCAGAGGTCACTTGGCAGAGCCCAGTTAGGCCTAGAGGGAACTTCCAGTGCATCCTCTGGGGATGTGGGACACTGGATGGGGTCTTGCCAGTCTTGGAGCAATGTACCAAAGCTTCCCTGTGGAAAGGAAATTTCTGTGCACACTTTTGGTTTATGAGGTGGAATGCAGGCTGCTACTTTCCACTTGGAGGTTGCTGGGCAGGGCCCAAATATGCCTGCAGGGACCTTCCAGCGCATCCTCTAGTGATGTGGGACTTTGGGTGGGGCTTTTTCAGCCTAGGAGCAAGGCACCAAAACTTCCCCATGGGCTAGAAATCACTGTGTCCTTTTTCAGCTCATGAGGCAGAACATATGTTGGAAGTTGTGAGATTTAGATTTAATTTTACAGTTGACATTTTTTTCAAACCCGGCTGTATACCTTATTTAAATAGGAATGCAAAAAGTTAGTTTTCTGAAACTTATTGGTGTTTTTTGAATATTGTTACGTTTTAGGCCTTCAATATTCATGTGCTCCAATTTAATTGATACCAGTGTTTAAACAGTTTAGTGTAAATGAGATTAGTGACAGTTAGGATCTTCCTTACATTCCAATTTTTGTTCATGAGCCCTGTTCACATAGGATGTTGTGTATCTTTTAGCTGAATCCCTTTCTGAGGAACATACAATTTTCCAATCCTGCTGGAGACCAAGTGAATTTGAATGACAGAAAGAAACTGGATTCAGAGTATGACATTCTCAATTTTTGGAATTTTCCAGAAGGCCTTAGACTTAAAGTTAAAGTGGGAATATTTTCTTTTTATGCTCCACATAGTCAAGAAATGACTTTATCTGAGGATATGATAGAGTGGACCACAGGAGTTACAGAGGTATGTTATACCTAATCATGATCCACTTCCTTAAGCACAAGTAAGCTAAATCTCTCATAGTTTTTGTGCTTCCAATTGTCCTCATGAAATAATCATCTGTAAACATTAAATAACTAAATTTTCATTTTGAAAAATAGTTGTTTATGTGTTTTCTAATTAATGGGAGAGGGGGGAATTTATTTATGTAAATATATACTTCATAGAATGAAATAAATTTGGCATGAGAATTCAATAGTTCTGTTTATGTATATAGGAAAATAGATTTATTATTGAAATTCCCAAGTAAGTAAAATTCTAAGATATTACCATCACATATTTTTCCCCTAGATTCCCCTCTCTGTGTGCAGTGAGAGTTGCAGTCCTGGTTTTAGGAAGAGCCCTCAGGAGGGAAAAGCTGCCTGTTGTTTTGATTGCACCCCTTGTGCAGAAAATGAGATCACCAATGAAACAGGTAGGAGCATGACCTCTGAACACATACTCACTCTATTTTAAACTCAATCTACTTCTTCAGGAAATGAAAAAAGTCTTGTAGAGGACACTGATGACAAAATTCTTCCTTCACTTGTCAAATTTTTTCTTTTATTCAGAGATACTGCATGGTTGGAAAATACATTTTCTCTTTTGAAATTCACTCTAATTCATTTTATTTTTATTATATTCTTATTAATCTTTTTGTTCTTTACTGCCTATTAAACCAAAGTGCACTCTATCTATTTTCCATGTCCCAGCTACTCTTATTTAATGTTAGTGACAGAATATCTGCAATGTGCCTCATATTGACCCCCAAATTTAAAAGACTTGTCTCATCTCACTAATTCTCTGCAATAACCCTTATTCACTGCTCCACTTGGCCACACTGACTTACTTTATTTTTTGTAATAAAAATTAGGCAGATCAATTTCTTTTCAGATATATTACAATTACAATTTTAGAAGGGCAAAATGACAATTTTCAGCATCAACTCCCAACTCTACAGATGTTTAACAGAAAAAGTATGTACTTTTTGTTCTTTGAATACAGGCAAAGTACCCCACTGCATAGCAAATGATAGAGATGCAGTAACAGAATTGAGGATGTAATACTAAAGGAGTAGAATGTTCCTCTCAACAGCTATGTAATCCATAAATACAAGCATACATTCATGACTATGAGGATAATAAGTAATTTTTAGAATAAAACCCACACGACTAACTACTTCAAAGGCTAAACCTAGTAAAACAGTTTCTGAATGGATGATTTTATCCATAGAGTGATAATCACAAACGCCTCTGATCCAGCTTTCTAAGGTATATGGTACTGAGGACAAGGAGCATGGGAAGACTGGCAGTGCATGCTGAGTTAAGAGTCAGGTCAGTGGATCAGTTGGTGATTATCCAGAGCAGGATGATGTTTTAGAGATTTTGCAATATCCTAAGATGTGACTCATGGGAAAGGGTGTCAAGGATAGGTGATTTGTCAGTCCTGAAAACTATTTAGTAAATTTCAATGCTTGACTTCAAGAACACGCTAGTAGTAGAGGAATGAGGACAATGACAGAGAATAAAGGACAGGAAAAGTGGAGGAAATTTCTGAATGCTGGGGATATGCTTTAGTATCTGTCCAAAGCATTCTTGCCATGAGTGACCTGCTCCTGATCACCAAACATCACATTTGGAGTAAAATGTGAGGAAAGACTATATTTTGGCTTGGATAAAACACCACTATAATTGGATCCAATAGAAATATGATTTATTAAAAAGTATCAGTAAATATTTAGAGGTATGCTTTTGTTAAATCAAGTACAAAGAAAAATTAATCCTAACTGTAGACATACTAACAAGTAGAGACCTTTGCAGGCCTGCCTGGATCAACGTTTAAGACATATTTTTAGGTCAGGTACACAAGACTACTGAACAACTTGTAGACAACCAACATGCTCCTTCGAATGCATCAAAACAGTCCTGTTTCAACCACTGACATTTGACAGCAATTTAGATTTTTTTTGCCTTTTTTCATTTTTCGTTTTTATCGGTACCAGGGATCAAACTCACGACTGCATGCTTGAAAGGCAGGTGCTTATGCCGCTGAGCTAAATCCCCAGCCCCTAGCAATTTAGATTTTGACAGCCAGTTTTCACAGAGTATTTATTCCAAACTTCAGTTTATTGTAACACTAACTCATGGTAAACAGAATGATAATTTTTCAAACCACAACTTTAAAAGAACAGAAATGGACATTTAAGCTCATCTCATTAAAAATCTTCACTCTAACATTGATCAACGAGCTTGAAAAATGTCTTTCATTAATTGAGGTTTGAAGTGATTAGTACATACCCTGATGTTTAAAAGAAACATCAAGATGAACATTACTTACTAATAAAGAAGTAGGAGAAAAAGTCTCTAACTATCTTTCAAAATTTGTGTTATGTAATCCTGTAGCACACTTTACAATTTGCGGTCCATTAAGAAGAATGAGATAAGAACTTTCTGTATCATACTTCTGCCAGACATGGTCATGCAGTGAAGAAAACTAATGAGAATCTGTGTCAGAAATTGAGAAACATGGATGATAAGATTTTCCAGTAATATTAGTTTTTAACTACAAAATTCATGTAAATGAATAAAATTATTCTGAATTTCCTAGTTATTCAGTACAAGACTATTACAAAAAAGAAACCTGTTTCTCCACCTTGATCATACGGCATTCATATGTAAAATTTGAAAAATAATGTTGCAGCACTTCAAAATCACTAAATATGTAGCAATATAAGTTGAAATTGTTTTGCAAGATGCCTGAATCAAATGATTGAAACATCCCTTTGAAAATAAAAATTGAAGAAGTGGTTTTAGAAAACATGTGTAGATGGAAAGGCTCAATAATGGAATTAATCTCATTCAGTATACTTCCTCATATGTATTTCCCTGGGACAGAGAAATTTATGTTGGCTTGCTAATATGAGATTGTTCATAGAATATCTGGGAATCATTTTAAAGATTTGATTTAGATCAAGTAAATGAAGTAAGTAATAAAGGTAGATCCCTTATTGCTTGTAAAAATAGGAGCGTTTTTACAGATATTCCCACATTTAAAAGGATGATAAACAGCAAGTAGCATTACTTAGGAATTATTGTTTATATACCATTCTTTAGTTTGTGCCTAGAATACAATGGAAGAATAAGATGTCATGATGCATGCTTGGTATTCAGGTTTCTGGGAGGCTGAAGCTAGAGGATTTTCAGTCAGAATATATCATTGGCAACATAATGACTTACGGAGATTTCTTTTTCTTTCTTTCTTTTTTTTTTAATTGATACCGGGGATCCAGAAATCCAACACAAGAATAGATTATTGGAAGCTGTCAGAGAGAAAAGACAAATCACTTATAAGGGAAAACCTATCAGAATCACAGCAGACTTCTCAGCACAAACGATAAAGTCAAGAAGAGCATGGAGTGAAGTATTCCAGATCCTAAAGCAAAATGATTTCCAACCAAGACTGATATATCCTGCAAAACTATCATTCAAAATAGATGGTGCAATACGATACTTCCATGACAAAGAACAGCTGAAGAACTTCATGAACACCAAACCAACCCTGCAAAAAATATTGAAAGACAGTTTAGATACACAAAGGAAAAAACCACTAAGCAAAGCAAATAATTAAACAGAACCGAAAGATAAAGATGCAACAGCAGAGAGATAACATTCCTACAATTAACCAGCATTTAACAGTAATAACCATTAATGTAAATGGTCTCAATGCACCAATCAAAAGAAACAGACTAGCAGAATGGATCAAGAAACAAAATCCAACCATATGCTGTTTACAGGAAACCCATCTAACCCAGAAAGATACTCACAGACTGAAAGTCAAAGGATGGAAAACAATTCTTCATGCAGCAGGAATCCAAAAAAAGGCAGGAGTAGCCATTCTGTTTGCAGACAACGTGAACTTTAAACCAACAATGACCATAAAGGACAAAGAAGGTCACTACATACTCGTAAGGGGAAAACTCCAAGAGGAAGAGATAACTATCTTAAATATATACGCACCAAACTCCAGAGCACCCAGTTATATAAAACAATTATTAACAGAAATGAAAACTCAAATTATCAGTAACACAATTGTAACAGGAGACCTTAATACACCATTGACACCAAGGGACAGATCAACCAGACAGAAAATGAGCAAAGAAATAACAGAACTGAATCACACCTGTGAACAAATGGGTTTGATAGACATATACAGAATGTTCCACCCAACAACATCAGAATACACATTCTTCTCAGCAGTACATGGATCATTTTCTAAAATAGACCATATATTAGCTCACAGAACATATTTAAGCAAATGCAAAAGAGTTGAAATCATCCCTTGCATATTATCGGATCATAGCGCTCTGAAATTAGAAATTAATGACAAAGGATACTGCAAAAATTCCGCAAACACATGGAAACTAAATAACACACTCTTGAGTAATCAGTGGGTCACAGAAGAAATTAAAGAAGAAATTAAACAATACCTAAAAGAAAATGAAAATGCAGATACAACTTACCGGAATCTGTGGGATGCAATGAAAGCCGTTCTGAGAGGAAAATTTATTGCACTGAGTTCCCACATCAGGAAAACAGAACGAATACAAGTAAATAACTTGATGCTACACCTCAAACAGCTAGAAAAAGAAGAGCAAGTCAAGCCCAAAGCCAAAAGAAGAGAGGAAATTATAAGAATCAGAGCAGAAATCAATGCAATAGAGACTAAGAAAACAATCCAAAGAATCAACGAATCAAAGAGTTGGTTCTTTGAAAGAATAAATAAAATCGATAAGCCCCTAGCCAACCTTATTAAAAAAAGGAAAGAAAAAGCTCAAATTCATGCAATAAGAAATGAAAAAGGAGAAATCACTACAGACCCAATAGAAATACAGAGGATCATCAACACCTATTTCGAAAACCTCTACTCTCAAAAGTTTGATAACACAGAAGAAATAGACAGATTCTTAGAAGCATATGAAGTACCAAAGCTAGATCAAGAGGATATAAAACTGTTGAATAACCCAATCTCTGCTAATGAAATTGAGAATGTAATTGGGTCCTTGCCCACCAAGAAGAGCCCAGGCCCAGATGGATTCACTGCAGAATTCTACAAGAAATATAAAGAAGACCTAATGCCGACACTCCTCAAACTATTCAATGAAATTGAAAGGGAAGCAATCCTTCCTAAGTCATTCCTGGAAGCAAATATTACTCTAGTACCAAAACCTGAGAAAGACCCAACTATAAAAGAGAACTATAGACCGATCTCCCTAATGAACACAGATGCAAAAATCCTCAATAAAATATTGGCAAATAGGATCCAGCAAATCATCAAGAAGATTATACACCATGACCAGGTGGGATTCATCCCAGGAATGCAAGGATGGTTCAACATACGCAAATCAATAAATGTAATCCACCATATCAATAAAGCCAAAAATAAGAATCACATGATCATCTCTATAGATGCAGAAAAAGCCTTCGATAAGGTCCAACACTTATTCATGATAAGAACTTTACAGAAAATTGGAATAGATGGTCTTTACCTCAATATAATAAAGGCCATTTATGACAAACCAACAGCCAGCATCATACTAAATGGCCAAAAATTGAAAGCCTTTACTTTAAAATCGGGTACAAGACAAGGATGTCCTTTATCACCACTCCTATTTAATATAGTACTGGAAGTACTAGCCAGAGCAATTAGGCAAGAAAGAGAAATAACAGGGGTAAAGATAGGAAAAGAAGAAGTTAAATTATCATTGTTTGCAGATGACATGATACTCTACATAGAAGACCCCCTAAACTCCATTGAAATACTCTTAGATACAATAAATAAATTCAGTAATGTGGCTGGATACAAAATCAATACTCAGAAATCAATAGCATTCCTATACACGAACAACAAAATTACAGAGAGGGAAATAAGAGAAACTGGACTATTCACGTTAGCAAGCAAAAAAATGAAATATTTAAGAATTACTCTTACGAAAGAAGTGAAAGACTTATACAGTGAAAATTATAATACACTGAAAAAGGAAATTGAAGATGATCTCAGAAAATGGAAAGACATCCCTTGCTCATGGATAGGAAGAACAAACATTGTGAAAATGGCCATTCTCCCAAAACTGTTATACAGATTCAATGCAATCCCAATAGAAATACCATCAACATACCTTATAGATCTAGAGAAATCACTCCTAAATTTCATCTGGAACCAGAAGAGACCTAGAATCGCAAAGGCAATTCTAAGCAGCAAAGACAAAGCAGGAGGCATCACAATCCCTGACTTGAAGTTATACTACAAAGCAACAGTAGTAAAATCAACATGGTATTGGAATCAAAATAAAGCCGCAAATGAATGGAATAGATTAGAAGATACAACCACAACTACGAACACACTCAACCACCTTATTTTTGATAAAGGAGCAAAGCAGGTTCACTGGAAGAACGACAGTCTCTTTAATAAATGGTGCTGGAAAAACTGGCTCTCCATTTGCCGAAAACTAAAGCTAGACCCATGTCTATCACCATGTACTAAATTAAAATGTAAATGGGTCAAAGATCTGAATATTAAAACAGAAACACTAAATCTATTGGAAGACAAAATAGGTAGAAACCTTGGAGACATAGGAGTAGATAAAGAATTCATGAACAGGACTCAAACCGCACGGGAAATACTTCCCAGAATCAATAACTGGGACCACTTCTTATTAAAAAGTTTCTGCATGTCAAAAGAAATCTCCAGCATAGTGAAAAGAAAACCCACAAACTGGGAAAAGATTTTAGTGAACTCTCTCTCAGACAAGGGCCTCTTGTCTAAAACATACAAAGAATTAAAGAAACTCAGACCTCCGAAATTCAAAGATCCAATCCAAAAATGGGCATCTGAGATGAATATGCAATTCTCAGATGAAGAAATGCAAATGGCAAATAAATACATGAAAAAATGCTCATCATCATTGGTCATTAGAGAAATGCAAATTAAAACCACACTGAGATACCATCTCACTCCTGAAAGAATGGCCAGGATCAAGAAAACCGACAACAAATGCTGGAGAGGCTGTGGGGAAAAAGGAACTCTCCTGCACTGCTGGTGGGAGTGTAGACTGGTACAGCCTTTGTGGAGATCTGTCTGGAGATTTCTCAAAAAGTTGGGACTGGAAATCCCATTTATTCCAGCTATTCCACTTCTAGGCATATTCCCAGAAGAACTGAAAGCATCATACCACAGTGATATATGTGCACCTATGTTTATAGCAGCACAATTTGTAATCGCCAGATCTTGGAAACAACCCAAGTGCCCATCAACTGAGGAATGGATAAAAAAGTTGTGGTATTTCTATACAATGGAGTATTATTCAGCTATAAAGAAGGATCACATTGAGATATTTATCAATAAATGGGCACAGCTTGAGACCATACTCATAAGTGAAATAAATCAATCTCGCATGTGTGAATACCGAATAGTTTCCCTAATGTAAGTAATGATTCAAATATATAAAAATATGTGGTAATCATGATTCCCCATTAGGTGGCCTTGAAGCCTTATAAAGTTTTCACTCATTAATTAGAAAGGCTTTATTCTGGGCTTCTTGATATGAAAATATTTGAAGCTAGAGTATATGAAGTTTTACCCAAATATTTCAAGGAAAAAGACACTATGGTAACTACTATTAAGTCAGGTTATAAGGTGGTGAAGTACTAGGTTATTGAAACAGTCATGCTGTGACCTCTATTGTTATATTGTTATGTCCTGTTTTATCTCAATCTCCCCCTTATTGTTTCAAAAAAAATTATTTAGTCATTTCTTATGTTTGTCTTAATTAAAGAAAAAATTCAAAAAAATTAGGATATATAAATAGTAACTCTTTTTGATTTCCTATTAACTTGTTTTGAAGTCCTGTAGTACTCCCACGATCTTGTTTTGACTGATTAGACTCTGTTCCATTCTATATGATAGTATCAAGTTTGAAGACATAGGCAACTACTTTGAAGACAATAAGATTCACTAAGATACCCATTCTGGTTTGACTATTGTCTTCTTTGGAAGTCCTGTAATGTTTACAATGCCTAAGTTTTATTGGTCTTGTTCTCTACTGTTTTGTCCAACTTTATAATATCTAATAAGATAGACAATTCTTTTTAAGGAAACAAGGGACAACGTTGATAACCATTGTTGATAAACTTGTACTCTGTTCTACACCATGTGCTACGTCTATCCTTGGTATTGACTGACAGCTTTGTTTTGCCATATTTGACTGTATTCTTCCCTCCCCCAAAGAAAGTAATAAGCACTAAGGAGTAATAAAATCCAAGATGTGTAAATTTTGTTGTAAAAAAGAGAGGGAAAAAAAAAAAGAAAAGGAGCTCTAATGGATATAACAGCAAGTGTGTTTGGGGGTGTTAAATAGCTGACTTTATCAATGTTTTTGGAACATTGAACACAGCTGTTTGCAGTCTCCCTGTTTGAATGTCCACCTTGTGTTCTTTGATACTGTGATTTGAGGAACTATTTTCAAGAAAATAGTGTGTAATCTACTAGCAGGTAATTTCTTACTGTTATGGTTTTTTGTTTTGTTTTGTTTTGTTTTGTTTTGTAGTTCTGTATTGCGTGTACCCTTATGCCACTTTGGTTTGTTTTGTGTTTTTCTCTTTTTCCTCTTAAATAAAAAAAAAAATTGATACCGGGGATCGAACCATGACCACCTGCTTGCAAGGCAGGTGCTTATACCACTGAGCTAAATGCCCAGCCCTGGAGATTTCTTTCTCAAAATAATAAAATTTAAAAGAGTTGCAAATATATTTCTGGGAAAAGTTTCTGAGTTCCATCTCACATTCTGAAAAAGAAAGGGAAGAAAAGGCAAGACATGAAAAATATCAACAAGACACCATTTACTTCAAGCTCACTGTGTTTCTGTGGATGGGACTGTGTAAAAGAAATAAACTGAGGCAAGTGATGATTTTTCTTTTTTTTTCTTTCTTTCTTTTTTTTTTTTTTAGATATGGAGCAGTGTGTGAAGTGTCTACATCACCAATATGCCAACACTCAGAGAAACCACTGCTTGCATAAAAATGTGACCTTTCTGACTTATGAAGATCCTGTGGGAAAAGCTCTGGCTGGTGCTGCCCTGACTCTCACTGTCCTTACAGCTGCTGTCCTTGGGCTCTTTGTGAAGCACCAAAACACTCCCATTGTTAAGGCCAACAACCAGGCTCTTAGCTACACCCTACTCATCTCCCTCCTTGCTTGTTTCCTCTGCTCCTTACTCTTTATTGGCCGTCCCAACACAGCCACCTGCATTCTCCAACAGACCACATTTGCAGTTACATTCATGGTGGCTGTTTCCACTGTCTTGGCCAAAACCATTACTGTGGTGCTGGCATTTAAAATCACTGTTCCAGGTAAAAGGATGAGGCAGTTGCTGGTATCAGGGGCACCAAATTCCATCATCCCCATCTGCTCCCTGATCCAACTCACTCTTTGTGGCATCTGGATGGGGACAAATCCACCCTACATTGACACAGACACACACTCTGAACATGGCCACATCATTATCATGTGCAACAAGGGCTCCCTCACTGCCTTCTATTGTGTCTTCGGATATCTGGTCTCCCTGTCCCTGGTCAGCTTCATGGTAGCTTTTCTGGCTAGAAACCTGCCTGATACATTCAATGAAGCAAAGTTCCTGACGTTCAGCATGCTGATGTTCTGCAGTGTATGGGTCGCCTTCCTCCCTGTGTACCACAGCAGCAGGGGGAAGGTGATGGTGGCCATGGAGGTCTTCTCCATCTTGGCCTCTGGTGCAGGACTGCTGGCATGCATCTTTGTGCCTAAGTGCTACATTATTTTGTTAAGACCAGAGAGAAATTCTCTTATTGGAATCAGGGATAAAACACATTCTATGAGAAAGGTGCCTTCCTATCATTAAATATATTTGCTTTCTAATATAACCTGTGATCTCAAAGTCAAAGCTGAACCATGTGTGAAATCAGACACTATATTTTTATGTGGGATTTAGATCCTTAGTAAGTAATGCACCTTCTTTCTCTATTATCGTCATGGTCACTAGAAACTGCAACCCTCCTTTTTAAATTAAATTTTATTCCAGATATTTTGTTTAATTCAGTTAAAATTTACCCGTTGATTCTATGGTTACAATATTCACTTTTATTCGGTCCTTTTTTTAGTTTCTCAATATTTTTCTCATTTTAAAGTGGCATAAAATCTCTTCCTGTTTATTACTGTGTTTCTGAATTTTTAAACATATTTTATTGCACTTCCTTTTGAAGGTATATCCTGTCTTCTCTGTGCTGATTATAATATATTTTAGTAGTTGTATGCATACTTGTTTTCTTTCATTTCTCTTTTGCACTTAGTTGCATTACATTTAAATGTCCTGTCTCCCATGGATTTAAGATCCAACAACTGCCTGGTTAATTCAAGTGTAAACTTTATTGATTTTATGATGTATTGAATTTGTAAACTACTTTGAGAAGAATCTTCTAAACATGCAGCAATTTTTTCCATTTCACACTTATATTTCCTTTTATCCTAATTAATTATTCTCAACTGAGAGGTATATATGTGTATAATGTACATTTTGCATTATATTATATATAATTTAAAATAAGTTTTCTTTTCATTTTTATATGCAAGTATTTTAAGTAATTCTTAGATAATGTGATAGGAAATGGAATATATGGTCTGCCATATATTCTGATATATATTCATGTTAATCCATACATATGAAATTTTATTTCTGTTCATGATGGTACACAAATGTGATCTCAGCACTATGGGATAGTGAGGCTGAAGAGTGTAAGTTGTGTTCAACACAGAGTTCCTCAAGACTTAACAAGCATCTGTCCGAAAATCAACATTAAGTAAGTCAGGAGGTGTAGCTCACTGTGTGCCCACATCCAGTTTTTGGCTTTTGAGTCACCATTTTTTTAAGTGTTTAAATTGAGGAATTTCATTAACAATATTAAAAATTGGAGTCAGGCCTAGGCATGGAATCCCATACCAGTCTTGGGGAACTCTCTTCATCACCTGGGGACCAGCCCGCTGTATCCTGCCAGGACCGATGAGTGGGGCTGCAACATGGAATTCCATCTCAGTATGGGAAACTCTCTTTATTGCCTGGGGACCAGCCCACAGTTTCCTGCCAGGATCAGTGAGTGGGGCCATGACACGGAATTTCATCCCAGTCTGGGGAACTCTCTTCTTCGCTTGGGGACCAGCCCACGGTTTCCTGCCAGGACCAGCAAGTTGGGCCTATGCACAAAATGACATCTCAATCTGGGGGAGCTTACTTTGTCACCTGGGGGCCAGGCCACAGTTCCCTGCCTGGATCAGTAAGTGGGGCCACAGAGCAGAACCCAGTCCCAGTCTAGGGGAACTCTCTCCCTCACTTGGAACAACACTTGAAGCTCAAAAATTTAGGAAAATGAGAAAATGTAAGGCCAAAATGCAACATCAAATATCCAGCCCATCCCAAGAAAGCCTAGGGGCCCTGTGCATAGAAGAAAACACATGCCACATACCTGAAATACCTGAAATAATAGTAACTGAAGTAAAGAAACAACTCTGGGAAACCTTAAAGGAATTCAAACTAGAAATAATCTCTCAGGTAAAAGAAGAAATGATAAAAGAAATGAAGGAGATGCTGAACATATCTAAAGAAGACACAGTTAAAAAAATTGGAGGAACTAAACAAAAAGATAGAATACCTGGATGAACAATGTAAGAAACAAACAGGATACATAAAGCAGATGCAAAGAAATATACAGGAAATCAAAAACTCCATCAAAAGTTGTAAAAACCACCTCAATGAACGTGAAGATAGAATTTCAGACTTCAAAGACAAGATTGCAGCCAGTGAACAGGAAACGAAAGATCTTTTAAAAATAACAAGAAATCAGGAAATAACAATTCAACACCTGCAAGATGACACAAAGAGGAACAACATAAGGTTGATAGGAATAAATGAAAAAGAAGGGGACAAAACGAAGGATGTCAAGAGGATATTTAGAGAAGTAATAGCTGAAAATTTCCCAAACATGAGTTTGGAAACCAATATCAAATCAGTGAAGCATATAGAATTCCAAATAGCCACAACCAAAATAAAACTATACCCAGACACATAATAATGGCCATCCCAGAAATGGAACAAAAGAATAGAATATCAAAAGCTGTCAGAGAGAAAAGACAGATCACCTACAAAGGAAAACCTATCAGAATCACAGCACACTTCTCAGCACAAACAATAAAGTCAAGAAGAGTATAGAGTGAAGTATTTCAGATCCTAAAGGAAAATGATTTCCAACCTAGACTGATGTACCCTGAAAAACTGTCCTTCAAAATTGATGGAAAAATAAGATACTTCCATGACGAAGAACAGCTGAAAAACTACATGATCACCAAGCCAACCCTGCAAAGAATACTGAAAGACAGCCTAGATACATTTAGGAAAAAACCGCTAAACAAAGCAGACAATTAAAGAGAACAGAAAGATAAAGATGCAGCAGCAGAAAGATAACATGTTAACAATTAACCAATATACAACAGTTATAACCATTAATGTAAATAGTCTCAAAGCACCAATTAAAAGAAACAGACTGCCAGAATGGATTAAGAAACAAAATCCAACCATATTTTATCTACAAGAAACCCATCTAACCCAAAAGGAAACCCACAGACTGAAAGTCAAAGGATGAAAAACAATACTTCATGCAACGGGAACACCCCAAAAAGCGGGGGTGGCTCTTCTGTTTGCAGACAATGTTAACAAAAGCCAATAATGATCAAAAGGGATAACGAAGGTCACTACATACTAGTTAGGGGAAAACTCCAAGAGGAAGGGATAATTATCTTAAATAAATATGCACCAAATACCAGAGTACCCAGTTATATAAAACAAGTACTAACAGAAATTAAAAACCAAATTAACAGTAACACAATTCTAACAGGAGATCTTAACACACCATTGACACCAATGGACAGATCAACCAGACAGAAAATCAGCAAAGAAATAAAAGAACTGAATCGCACCTGTGAACAAATGGAATTAATAGATATATACAGAGTATTCCACCCAACAACAACAAAATATACATTCTTCTCAGCAGTGCATGGGTCATTCTCTAAAATAGACCATATATTAATTCACAAAACATATTTAAATAAATGCAAAATTGTTGAAATTACCACTTGTATACTATCGGACCATAATGCTATGAAATTAGAAATTAATGATAAAGGATACAGCAAAACTCCCACAAACACATGGAAACTGAATAACACACCCTTGAGTAATCAGTGGGTCATAGATAAAATTAAAGAAGAAATTAAACAATATCTACAAACAAATGAAAACACAAATGCAACTTACCAGAATCTGTGGGATGCATTGAAAGCTGTCCTCAGAGGAAAATTTATTTCACTGAGTTCACACATCAAGGAAACAGAATGAATACAAATAAATAACCTGATGTTACACCTCAAACAGCTAGAAAAAGAAGCGCAAGTCAAACCCAAAGCCAAAGAAGAGAAGAAATTATAAAAATCAGAACAGAAATCAATGCAATAGAGACTAAAAAAGCAGTCAAAAAATCAATGAATCAAAGAGTTGGTTCTTTGAAAGAATAAATAAAATTGACAAGCCCCTAGTCTACCTTATTAAAAAAATGGGGGAAAAAGCTCAAGTTGATGAAATAAGGAATGAAAAAGGAGAAATCACTACAGACCCTATCAAAATACAGAAAATCATCAACACCCATTTTGAAAACCTCTACTCTCAAAGGTTTGATAACACAGAGGAAATAGACGGATTCCTAGAAGCATAAGAAGTACCAAAGCTAGGTCATGAAGATGTAACACTGCTGAACAACCCAATATCTATTAGTGAAATCAAAAACATATTTATATTTTTACCTACAAAGAAGAGCCCAGGCTCAGACAGATTCACTGCAGCATTCTACAAGAAATAAAACAAGACCTAAAGCCAACACTCTTCAAACTCTTCAGTAAAATGGAAAGGGAAGCAATTCTTCCTATATCCTAGAAGCAAATATTACTCTAGTACCAAAACCTGAGAAGGACCCAACTGAAAAAGGGAACTACAGACCAATATCCCTAATGAACACAGATGCAAACATCCTCAATAAAATATTGTCAAATAGGATGCAGCAAATGATCAAGAAGATCATACACCATGACCAAGTGGAATTCATCCCAGGCATGCAGTGATGGTTTAGTATATGTAAATCAATAAATGTAATACACCATATCAATAAAGCCAAAAGTAAGAATCACATGATCATTTCTATAGATGAAGAGAAAGCCTTTGATAAGGTCCAACATTCATTTATGATAAGAACCCTACAGAAAATTGGAATTGATGGTCTTTACCTTATTATAATTAAGGCTGTCTATGACAAACCAACAGCCAATATCATACTAAATGGCCAAAAATTGAAGGCCCTTACTTTATAATCAGGCACAAGACAAGGATGTCCCTTATCACCACTCTGTTTAATATAGTACTGGAAATACTAGCCAGAGCAATTAGACAAGAGAGAAATAAAAGGCATAGAGATAGAAAAAGAAGAAGTTAAGCTATCATGATTTGCAGATGACATGATACTCTATATAGAAGATCCCCAAAACTCCATTGAAAGACTCCTAGATATAATAAATAAATTCAGTAATGTAGCTGCATACAGAATCAATACTCAAAAAATCAATAGCATTCCTATACACTAACAACAAAATCACAGAGAGGGAACTAAGAGAGGCCACATCCTTCCCAATAGCAACCAAAAAAATGAAACATTTAGGAATTACTCTCACAAAAGAAGTGAAAGACCTATACAAGGAAAATTATAACACACTGAAAAATGAAATTGAAGATCTCAGAAAATGGAAAGA